AATTTATTGCTCGAACTTGCCATATGCATATTGTGCTGTCCATGAGAACTCCCTACGAACGAAAAACATTAGTCTACACGCAGGAATAAAAAACCAGAACAGAACATTTTGTAACTTCTCAATACGTTTTGTTTAAATTGTGAAATGGCAATCGACAATACTCACCACAATTCTCTTTATTTTGTTCCAGAGCATTCTGTTTTTGGGCCTGCTGCTGCCCAAGTCTATACTTCTACACGAAAAAAGAATTAAGCATCATTCAGTTACATATATATTAAGGTCGGTTATATGAATCCCTTTGAAAAGGAATGAGTACCTGTAGATGACTCTTCAAGTGATACAATGTCAAGCCCTTTAACCCCATTACTCTCAAAACTGATTTTGGAGTAGCTTCTGCAAATTCAAAACCATTCTCCAAATTTTATTCGAATGGTCTGACTAATTCTACCAGTATTAAGTTACACAGACAAAATATCCTCAAAATATTTGACTAAGAAACAAATAAACATTTCTTGCATCTTTAGATCAGATATATGTGACATTTACTTTACCTTAATCCTACAAAGTACTTAGATAGTTTTACTTGTAATTACTTCTTTCATGTACATAAACTCGCTAAATCGACCTGAATTCCATAAATTATATGCAAAATCAATTTGATCCCGTAACAAGATAATTTCTTAAGATCATTTTTGGTAGAACTATCAAGAATTTTTAAAAACTAACCCACGTTACTCTATTCGAAAGATTAGCCCAGATCAACACCAAACTGAGTCATATTCCTAATAATTTTGCGATCGACAAAAAGATTAGCCTCATCAACAAATACATTATTAAAAAGTTGAACTAAAATAAAAATTGACTCACTATCGGGGCCTCCAAGTTTGGTGACAGCATCTACAAAACGATCATGAAGATCAGCAGTCCATCTCAGTCTTGGCTTTGAGTCTCTTGTCATCATCACCCCACTGCCTCTCGTCACCCCCTCGCTGTCAACACCTCCATAAATTCTGTCCATCTCCGCCTCTTATTACCACCACCACCACCACTACATAAATCTCGTAAAAACTCTCTCTCTCTCTCTCTTTGTGACTTTCTCTTTAAGCCCTCATGCCATCTTTATTCCTTGACAAAGGAAAAAAGAACAGTAGAGAACAAAGTAATTAAAGAATTAAAGTTCGAATCCAGAACAGAAAGACAGAAGAAAAAGATTGTATATAAATAAAACAAGATCAAATTACTGTAAGCACTGTAAAAATGATCATATATAGATACTGCATGAACGTGAAAAAGGAGAATCTAATACTAGGAAAGGATGAAAAAAGTTCAGAGCTTCCTAAAGACTCAACAAGAACAACTGAGCCAATCATGAAGACAAAAACATGAATAATATATAGGAACGTTAAGATAGTACTAGACTTCATTAATACAGACAAAGAAGCTAAAGTCTCATTGTCTAATATCTTTTGTATTGGTACCAAATTGTGTTATATTTATTAAGGTTTGTGATTACACCTTAAAAGCTTAATTAAGAAAAGTAAGCACGCGAACCCATGTGCGTCGTATATTTATTTCATTTTTATTTGACGTGGGATTTTTCTTGAACATGCCTTGCAAGATAGAAGCTTATTAATCTTGAAATCTGATTGCTCGTTTGAGCTTTTTTTTTTGGAGCATGAATTTGCTCGTTTGGATTTAAAAAACTCACCAAACATGCACCTGAAGTCTATGGGAATCTGTTAGGGGGCGAGAAATGTGAGTCCAAAAAGAAAAGAACATGGAGAGGAAAAATCGGCGACGAATCTGAAGAAACATGATTGCCGAAAAAAATCTTAAAAAATGAACTATTTTGACTGTATCTGATTGTTGAGTACGAGTTACTGAGCCGTTAGATTATTGACTTTATGACATTTTAGAATCATTCACGGTGGAGATTGGGATTATGGATCGAGTGATGGTGTAGGAGAACAGAAAGTCGTGAAGCCAGCAAGGAATATTCGCCGGCAAATGTGGGGACACGAATATTCGTGCACTCACGTGCCACGTCTTCCAAATTGGAGGTGGACTTTAGGGTGTTTTGAAGAAGTTATTCTATGCCACGCATCATCGTACAATATGTTCGACTAGTGTTAAAAGATTAAATTTAATTAATAAATATATTCCTTGTCCTTAAAATTTAACATTTTAATAGGCAAATAGTGCACAACTATGTTTAATTTGATAATGTGAATAAGACAATATTAAGAAACGTAAGGAAGATAAAATCTTGTCAAATTCAATTTTTTAAGTTGTGTATCTACGAAAATATAGTATTATTAAAAAAAACTAGTGTATACATCCCATTTCTTTTTATAAATCATAATCTACTCTCGTCTGCAAATTGTGTGAGAATATGTCTAAATTCACCCCTAAAAATAGCATATACGTAGTCATGTGACTTCCAAAGTCACATTTAGTTCTTAATCTAATGTTGTTTTGTTACTAGTAATGTCGCTCATGTTGCATAGTAATTGTTTTTAGGGACACTAATTTTTGTCTAATGCAACATATTACATACATTTTACTCAATGAATAGCCCAATCCATAAAAAAAATAGAGTGAGAAAGTAGAGAGAGAATATTCTTCACATGGACACATACAAGGAAGGTGTTAAGTTCTTGTAATAAAGTTGTTCTCTTTGCCAGCTTTTTCTTTTGAGGTTTTCTTCATGTAATAACATGCCTACATTTTTTACCCAAATAATGTTGATACAGAATCTTTTGATTTATTGTCCAATAAATAAAATACATTACAAGTGACCCAACTTTCACATTTAATTTTCAACTTAATAACTTACTAACATGATGGAGAATTCTCAAACAAAACTATTATTTAAAAAAACGTTGATAACATTTAGCCCCCGTTTGAGCCACATTCTCATACTTCTATTCATTTTCAACCACACATTTTTCAATAAAATAATATTTTCCTTCACATCAATAATAACTTTTCCTTCTTTTTCAACCACATATTCACTATTACATCAAAAAAAAAATGCATTTTCTCATAAAAAATGTGCATCAAACACATGAATTTTTGAATATTTTCTATCAAATTAAGATGTGGTCATTTTAATTTTTGATAAGAAAAAAATATTTTATGCCAAATTGCAAAGTGGCACGAGAGTTTTAGCATGTAAAGAACATATTTTACACGTAAGAGTGAACAAGTAAACGTGACTAAATGAAGGTAGCTGTCAAAATATGTGTTTTGCAGAATAAAGCGTGAGTACAAACCCTTTTTTTCTTTCACAGTTGATCGTACTTCATAGAAAAGTGTCTAATGGGATCCTGACAACTACATATACACAGCTGCATTATTTCAGCATACAACCAGCGCAGAACGGGCACAAGTTCATTAAAGCGTGTAATAAGCACGCGTTTAATTATTTTTCTTATCGGTTCAGACACTGTTTTAAATTCTAATGTTAGAATACATTTGAATTATGTTTTTTCTTTTTTCTAATTAGTTTTGCAGTAATTTAAACCTCTCTCTCTCTCTCTCTCACTCACGCACACACACTTTGATCCATACTTCTTAGAAAATAGTCCAATGAGATCACTTGCAACATATACACCACCTTCATCAATCAGTCAATTGATCAATGACATGTACTGGGCATGAAAATTGGGTCAAATATTTCGTCGGGATCATCCCTACTTTCATAATGACTACAATCCGAGACTCTTTACCATCATGACCTATTGGTAAAGTCGATTCTTTAGAACTCGAAAAAGTTGGAAAAAAGAAACATTTTTTGAATTATACTACTACTGTCCAGACATAGAGACATCAGGTTCATTAGTCGAATGCTGTAGGAAAGAGAATTTTGGCGGTAGGATCACGAGGGGCTCGTCTCCACTAAACTTCCTGGTGGAGGCCATTCCAAGCGCATATCCGAGAGCTCGTGCCACTGGAACAGACACTGCATTGCCTATCTGACAGTACTTTTCCTTGACAGTCCCGCAGAATCTGTAAAAATCTGGGAATCCCTGCAATCTTGCAAACTCTCGTATGGTGAGAAGTCGGTTCTGCTCGGGATGTAAAACTGCTTGGCAGCGAACATAGGGGAATGTCACCACCGTTGCTACTGTCTCGTCCCACCATAATCTTGCGTATGGTTTTTTCGACTTTCCCTGTTCAAAATTGAAGACACAATCTGGCACAACTAGTCTTCCAGTGGGTAGCATCATTGGCTCTTTGGTTGGATCACGACGTGCCACATTATCTTCTCCCACAATGACCCCGGGAAGGTCCCTGAAGTTGGCTCCTTTTCTCTTTGGGATTTGACAAACGCGCAAGTAATCGTGTGAAGACAACTGGAGAGGCCGATGGTCGAATAACACAGGACATTTTGATCCCATTTCTCTATTTGACACAAGTCCCAACATCTCGTCTTTACTTGATCTTATGTACCTTTGGAACACCGTTTCTGGAGGCTTCTCATATATCATTTCTTCACGGGTTTCATCATTTGTTACAGATGGCAGATCAGAAATTGCATCCTGAAGAACAATGGTGTCTTCAAGTGCGCGAGGCTGGCCTTCATCATAAGCAACAGTATTCCTCTCAAATTCGCATGGAGGCCAATATCTGACAACAACATCATGTGTAGGCAATGGGAACTGGGGCAATTTCTCACTAGGAGACGCACCCCAAATAAAAACGCGCAGTCGAAACTGAGGAAGACCATAACACCCCGAGGCAATAGTTCCTAACCTGGCTTGGTATTTCATATGCACTAAACGACTTAAAGCATATCGTCCAAGAGAGGCCTTATCGAATCTTATGATGTCGACCACATTTTCCATCAAGACATACTTTGGCTTTAAGAATCCAACTATATCCATAAAGACCACAATTTGGTGGTTTCTTTCATCGTCCCATGGGGACTCAACGTTCCTATGTCGATTATAACCGCTAATGCCTTGACATGGAGGGCCACCACATATTACATCAACTTCTCCCTGAAGTAGGCAGATTGCCTTTGTCAGGATACCAAGAGCATGTTTGGCTGAGTCTTAAAAAAGGTAAAAGTACTTGGAAGAAAAGTTTAGTTTTTAATAAAAGAAATTTGCCAAATATGTTTTTAACTTTTTGTGAATTCTTATAGATCCATCCCTCGAAGGAACCGAACATGATATTTTTTATCATCCGGCTCGAGCA